AACTCTCTTCTGTAAGTACTCTAATAAATAAACTATAATAAACTCAAAAGTGTGCAGGAATCAAGCGTGTTTTATAAAAGCAGACTAAAAGGTTAGATACATCCCTAATAAAAAATTTACTAATGTCATATTTTACACGTGAAGAATTTTATACATGCGAATTTTATACATTTATAGCAAAAGTCCCCAAATTAAATATGTAATAACAAAAACACTGGAATAATTGGCTATTACTGTCATTTTACTCTCATCTTATTGAAATCATTAAGAGAAGAAATATATTTTTGTTGGTCCTCTGTTACATTTAATTGCTGCATATCATTTTTATTTTGCATAAAGATTCGCAATCTAATTATAACGTTCTCCTAAAGAAACGCATACTATACAATGCGTGATAACTGAACTGGGGATTTTCACGCAAAATAAAAATTGTTCGCATGAATTGCAGAAATCAAGAGCTAAATAAAAATCTGTTTCTCCTCTCAATAATTTGAATAATACGAATTATAACACGTTTGTATTGTTTAGCATTTCATGTATTCGTTTTCGTGAAAAGTGCATATAACACGCGGTCTAATTAAATCGAACGCGTATCACATTTTTTTCCAAATATAAATTTAAATATAAATATAATATGATATAATATAATACAAATATAAATATAATATGATATAATACAATACAAATATAATAAATATGACATAATATGATAAAAATATAATAAATATGATATAATATAATACAAATATAATAAATATGATATAATATAATACAAATATAATAAATATGATATGATATAATACANAAGAATTTTATACATGCGAATTTTATACATTTATAGCAAAAGTCCCCAAATTAAATATGTAATAACAAAAACACTGGAATAATTGGCTATTACTGTCATTTTACTCTCATCTTATTGAAATCATTAAGAGAAGAAATATATTTTTGTTGGTCCTCTGTTACATTTAATTGCTGCATATCATTTTTATTTTGCATAAAGATTCGCAATCTAATTATAACGTTCTCCTAAAGAAACGCATACTATACAATGCGTGATAACTGAACTGGGGATTTTCACGCAAAATAAAAATTGTTCGCATGAATTGCAGAAATCAAGAGCTAAATAAAAATCTGTTTCTCCTCTCAATAATTTGAATAATACGAATTATAACACGTTTGTATTGTTTAGCATTTCATGTATTCGTTTTCGTGAAAAGTGCATATAACACGCGGTCTAATTAAATCGAACGCGTATCACATTTTTTTCCAAATATAAATTTAAATATAAATATAATATGATATAATATAATACAAATATAAATATAATATGATATAATACAATACAAATATAATAAATATGACATAATATGATAAAAATATAATAAATATGATATAATATAATACAAATATAATAAATATGATATAATATAATACAAATATAATAAATATGATATGATATAATACACAAAGATCACTTAGTTTCGAAAAATGCCACAATAATGTTTGAAGCAAGTCAGGTGATAAACGTCGAGAATGTATTCCTCAGCAAAACCGCAAGAAGAGTAAATCATCTGAAACGATGTAAACAACTAATGGCGAATTGCTTCCTCGGATCAGTAGAACGTCTAAATCAATAGTGTGGTTCGCTGTGTTCGAAGGAAACAGAGGGTTGACCCTGATATTGGCGGTTTCAATGGTAGAGGAACCAGACACAAAGCTCGGGGAGACCACACGCCGCGTGCCGTGCGCCGCCATCCTGAGCAGTAATATCTTTGCCTTTTAC